TCCTGTGGAGCCACAGAGCTCTCATCAAATGAGCAGGGCTGGCTCATCTGTCAGAGACCCAGTGAGCGCTGGGTCCAGTCTGCACAGTGGAGCCGAGAGGATCTCTCTGGGCTCACTGGGAGACGGCTTGCTGAAGCTTTCCCCATCCCCTGGTGTCTGTGGGGGTGAGAGAGGCCCACAGCGCCGAGTAAAACGGCAGCCACAGCTTCCCTTCTTCCCCCTGGGGACACACAACACCTAAAGCGGAGCGTCCGGCTCCTCACTGCACTGAGGAGACTGTCCCCTCAAAGCCTCAGCTCGCAGCACGCACAGGACGGCCGGGACCCGACAGGGGGAGCCGACCTTGCTGGTGGGGCTGCCCGCACCTTTCCGGTCACCTCTGGGACAGCAGCTGTCACGACGGGGCGGACGAGAAGGGCTGCTCGTGTTCTTTCCCGCTCCGCGACGAGTGCAGACGCGCTGCGCAGCCACGCCCGCCACCAGGGCTGATTTTCCGGATGGGGCTTCTATGGCGCACATGCTTAGACATCCTGCCGGGGCTTGCTTTATGGGTAGGGCTTATTTTCGGGGAAACGCGGTGCTAACTCCCCTCCCACCCACCCTCTGCAGAGACCTTCCCTTAAGGAAGCTGAACAAGCAAAGCCCCTCGGGTTGCGGGAGGGGGCAAGGGACAGGATCAGTTATGCACACGCCTGTCCCCTGCTCTAGACCGCCATCCCCTGGGGCTGTGGTGTCGAGGGTGTTCATCCCAGACGGCAGCTCCTAACCGGTGCTCGCGGATGTCTTTAGAAACAAGGAATGAGGAAGAAAGAGAGGGAAGAGGGAGGAGCCTGGCTTCCTTCCCTGTGGCCTCAACATCCCCCTGACAGGGCGTTTAAAACTAACCCCCCGCACTGGAAAACGACGGGGCGGCTGGCGTAGCCCGGAGTCCCCGTTTCCTCCTCTCACAGTTCCAGGTCTGACAAACTGAACTTGTCTCTGCTTCTCCGTTTAGGAAGCCTGGCTTTTAACTCCCTTCCACTGAAACCCACTGCCACCCGCCCGCGGGTGCCAGGAGCCCCCGGAACAAGAGCCGGGTCACCGCGGCGCGCAGGTGCAGGTGCTCCGCCGGGACCGCGCCCCACGTGCCGGCCCCGCACGCCCCGGGGCAGAGACGCGCCTCGTCCCGGCTGTGCCGGACACAGCCTTTCTACGGTAATTGGGCTTTCTTCTCTAAGCTGGCTGTTTATATAACTTCCTCTTCTTTAATTCTCCTCTTAGGTTCCGAGAGGAGAGGCTGACGTCACGGGGCCCCGTTCCAGATGCTGTTTTGAAACCAGCCCGACCACGGCACTGCTGGAGGCTGAGAGGTCTGTCTGGGCCAACTGAGTCACGCCCAGGTGCAGGGCCGCTCTGGCGTGGGGAGGCCGGGGGGAGGCGGCCCAGGGCAGGGACCGCGGTGTCCCTGCGGGAGGGGGACGTGGGCGTGTGTGTTTTTGAGGACTTGGAGGCACCTCTGGCAAGGGCCAGGGGACCGGCTGTCACTCTGCCCCGTCCGGCCTGACAGCTCAGACAGCCGAAACCCTCCCCTGCTCGGACTCATTCGAGGCTCTCTAGGGGTCACCGGTGCTCCTGAAAAGGGAGCAAAAGACCTCGGGTTCTGAGCTAGACAGTACCCCCACCTGCCGTCCCGGTTTACCTTTCTTCAAACCCCCAGATTCTTCCGAGCACCACGTCCGGCATGGCCTCCGCCTGTTCCCTCCTCTGCCGCCACCCGGCTTCTTCCCTGGAACATCCCGCCCCCAGCAGCCACCTCCTGCCACCCTCTCCCACGTCGAGCTGCGCACCCCCCCCCCGGGGCACCACGATGTCCCCAACAAACCCTCGCCCCGCCCTGAGCGCATCGGAAATAAGAAGGATCTGGTCTGTCCTGGCCTCCACTGCTGGCCTCCGAGCATCTTGAAAGCTCCAACTCTTTTTTTTTTTTTGAGACAGAGTCTCACTGTGTTGCCCAGGCTAGAGTGAGTGCCGTGGCGTCAGCCTCACTCACAGCAACCTCCAGCTCCTGGGCTCAGGCGATCCTCCTGCCTCAGCCTCCCGAGTAGCTGGGACTACAGGCATGCACCACCAAGCCCAGCTGATTTTATATATATATATTTTTTTAGTTGGCCAATTAATTTCTTTGTATTTATAGTAGAGACGGGGTCTTGCTCTTGCTCAGGCTGGTTTTGAACTCCTGACTTCGAGCAATCCTCCTGCCTCGGCCTCCCAGAGTGCTAGGATTACAGGCGTGAGCCACTGCGCCCGGCCTGTGAAAATGTCTTTTTAAGCGGACGTAGGGTGTGTGTGTGTGAATCGCAAAGAGACAAGAAGGTGAAATATGTCCCTCCGTCTCCCAGGCCCTCCCCACGCCCACCCTGCACCTCCACCCAGCCTCCCTGGGCGCTTGTGCACAGACGGACGGAGCTGCCCCAGACACACCTGTGCCCGCTGCCCCCGGAAGCGCCGGGCTTCCTCCCCCATCTCTCTGCTCGTGCAAGTCCCTCCGCCCGGAACTCTCTCCACCTGCCCCGGCCCGGACAGTCTTGTGCCCCAACGAGACGACTGTCCTTTCTCCTGCTCACCGTCCCTGCCCCACTGGCTCCCCTAGCAGACACGGGCGGTGCCGTCTCCCCCCAGCCTTGCAGCTGGAGTCGGCCCTCTCACCCCCCACACCCTGTCCCCACCCTCTCGCCAGCAAACCCTGCCCGCTCTGCCCGGAAGACGGCGCCCTGCGCTGGCCACGCTCAGCCCCCGCCGCTGCCACCCGTCCACTCTGCGTCTCGCCCGGCCAGGTCACCACCACACCCCCCACTGGCCACTCACTCTCCACTCGGCGGTCAAGCCTGCTCCTTCTAGAACGCGGGCCGGATCTCCTCACGCCCCTGCTCACCACCCTCCCGGGCTTCCCGTCCTTCTCGGAATAGAATTCCGAGACCTTGCCTCAGCCCCTGCTCTGGCCCCTGGCCACCGCCCGGCTTTGTCTCCCGCCGTCCTCCCCTCCCCCTTCCCCTGGTGCGCCGGACTCCTCGCTGCCACCCAAGCACGCTCTTCTTTTCAGGCCTTTGCACATGCCGTTCCCTCTGCCTGGAACGCCTTTCCCCGCCCGATGGTCACAGGACTCGTCCCTCCGCTGCGTTCTGGTCCCTGCTCAACCGTCACGCCTTTAGAGAACGTTAGTAGCCCCCATCCCTCTCTGTCCCCTAGTCCTGCCTAGTATTCCTCACGGCCCTTCACTATTTTACACTATATCGCACGTCGAGTTGCTGACACCTGTATCCCCCAAGCGGAATGCCGGCGCATGAGGACGGGGCAGGGTGGGTCTGCTCAGTCCCCGTGCCTGGCACAGACGGCGCCCCATGGGAGGGAGGAAGGAAAGAGGGAAGGAGGGAGGGAAAGAGGGAGGGAAAGAGGGAGGGAAGGAGGGAGGGAAGGAGGGAAGGAAGGAGGGAGGGAAGGAGGGAGGGAAAGAGGGAAGGAGGGAGGGAAGGAGGGAGGGAAGGAGGGAGGGAAGGAGGGAAGGAGGGAGGGAAGGAGGGAAGGAAGGAGGGAAGGAGGGAAGGAAGGAGGGAAAGGAAGCAAGGAGGGAATGACACCACACTCAGATAGGTGTTCCTTTTTTCCTTTGAGCCTCCTACTGCCCCCTACACCCCTTGGAGTATATTTTTTACTCTAAGTAAGTTCTTCGAGGGCAGGGACTGGAGCCCCACCGTGCCTGGCACACAGTAGGTGCCCAAGAAATGCCTGTGCAATTAGATAGAAGCAAGTGAAGAACCTGTTCTAGGAGACAACGATCTGCCGGTGTCATGACACAATTGTTGAACTTCATCTACCTGAGCCGCAATCCAGGTAAATTCGCACCCGGTGGGCGGGCTGTGTATTTCTCCCGGGACTCCTGCCCACCGGGCGCCTGGCCAGCCCGCCCACACCCATCGGGCGGTTGGCTTCCCCTTCTGCCCCGGCAGGTGAGCTCGGGACGTATCGGTAGAAGTCACATCACGGGTGACAGAGTCGCCCCGGACTGGGTGGGCCCTTAGGGACCCTGTTTGTGTGTGGAGATTTCTGGGGCTCCTGGCGGGGCCCTGCCCCCCGCCACGTTATCCGAGGTCACGTGACGCTGTTTATCTCGCAAGCGTTAGGCAGTGATTTTCCTGCTGAAAGAGGCGAGTTGTGCCAAGGCGCTAGCCCTTCCCAAGGCACCGCAGCGCCTTCCCTGTTTGCGGCTCACGCTTGGCAGTGGCTGGGGTGTGGGGGGGGGAGCCCCAAGCCTGGGCCGCCACCGAGCGAGCAGGGCCGACCCCGAGGTTCAGGGCCACGGGCCTGTAGACAGTGGATAGTTTGGGAGCAAAACGCCTTCATGGGCTGGGTGTCACGGTCCCTGCAACACCTCGCCCATTATGGTGACAAAAGAACGAAACATGCCGTAACAGGAGAGAACACATCCCAAATGTCGGCAGGTCCCCAAACACTACCCGGTCCCCCTCCCCCAGGTGTGGCTCCACCTGCCGCCTTCAGCATCCACCTGTGACGCACCTGGCAGAGGACACCTGGGACAGGTTCTTGGCGAGCGCTGGGGCGCGAACCGCTCACCCAGCTCCTCGCCCTGCCGGCCCCGCCGCCTCCTCCCCGTCCGGCCCCGAGCGTCTGCAGGGCGGTGTGACTCGCCCTGCCCGTCTAGAGGGGAGAACTGCCCCGTATGTTGACCGCTGCTTCTGGCATGTTCCATCGGGGATCCAGGTTCAGTTTACCCTACGCTGGCGCGGTGCCTCCCTGAGCCTCTCAAGCACCAGTGCGGGCTGAGCCTGGCCGCCGCCGCCGAGCTCCCGTCCCGGCTGCGGCGGCCCTGCTCCGCCCCTCCGCCCTTGCTCTCGCTCAGAACCACAGCTCTGAGCTTCCCGACATCGGATGAACGGTTCCGGCGTGAATTCCCAGCACCGGCAACGCCGAGCTCTGCGGGCTCCGCAGCCCCAGCCCGCGCGTACCTTCATGAAGAACAGCCGCCTGCCGGTCTTGCCCCGGTCACCCCCGGCCGCCTGGAGCTCAGCGGCCTGGGCGGCCAGCGCCAGGTCGGGGACGCCGCCGGGGCCGGCCTCCGTGTCTGCCAGCTGCACGGGCGAGTGGACAGTGCCGTCCCTGCCCTGGGCCAGGAAGGTCTCGAAGGGGTCCGGGTATTTCTCCTCGGGGCTGGAGCCGTCCTCGCTGGCCTTGGCGTGACAGAGGAGCAGGGACCGGGAGATGGACCGGAACTTGGCTGACTTTCTGCTCTTCCCCGAGCTGCTGCGCGACTCCATCCTCAGAGAGGAAGTGAAGCTGCCTTTCTTCCTTCCCTGGTCCCGGGCCCCTGGCTGGCGGGCGGCGACGGGAACGGGCTTGGCTGCCACTTCATGAGCCCCTGGGGGAAAGAGGAAACGGGAGAAGCAGGGTGACTCGCTGGGCACAGCTGGAGCCTGATGTGAGTCCCGGGCCGAGCTGCGCGTGCCCCGGCACCCGGGAAGCAGGGCGGAGGGACAGACCGTCCTCCGGGGTCCCGGCCCCTCCAGTTGGCCGGCCGGGCGGGGCTCCGTGACCCAGGTGGCTGACGCTCGATCCACTCCCAGCTCGTGGAGCCCCAGTCCCAGAGCTCCCCCTGCCCAGACTCTGCTTCTGCAGACGGGGGCCCAAGCGCAGACCGGGAAACGCAAACCCGGGGTGCTGGCGGAGGAGCCAGGGACCAGGCACCGGAAGGGGGTTGAAGGGTCGGAGAGGCAGGGCCTTGTGAGGTTTTTAAACTTGGAGGCCACTCTCCAAACGAAAGGTTTTGCAGGGAGCTTCAGCCCGCAGAGCAGACCAAAGTGGGGAAAAGGACGACCAAGCTCCGCCTGCCTGGTCCCCGTCACCGTCCTTGGCTACTCCCGCGGCATCTCCAGAGAGACGCCAGCGCCCTGGCTCTCAGTCCGAAGGCCACTGAGGTCCACGTCCCCGTCCGTAGGTGAAGAGCCCAGGCGAGGAAGGTTGGGGTCTTGCCTAACACCAGCCTGCCAGCGCTGAGTGGACGTAGAAGAAGGTGAACTTGGCAAGTGCCCACCAAAGGGCTGAGCTTGCAGCAGGCTCCTGGCAAGCGTGTGCCCTTCCCTCGGCCTGCGGTCAGCCCTGGCCGGACTCACAGCCGGGCCTGGGGGCTCCTGCTCTACAGCCTGCCCCCACTGGGGCAAACGCCCGCAGCCTGGGGGCCAAACGCCGGCTCCCGGCCTGCCAACGGCGTCACCGGCAGCCCCGCTCGGCTTCGCCGGGAAGCGCCTCCCGCGGAGGACTCGGTTTCCACGAGGCAGGTGGCGGCAGAGGGGCCCTGGCGCTGCGTCCAGAGAAGCTCTGACTCAGGCCCAGGCCGCAGAGCGAGGCCTGCTGCCAGAACAACAAACCCGGGGACGCTCTTGGCCCACGGGCCCTGCTGTGCGTGCCCGTCCAACACTGAGAAAGGAAAAGCACTGAGGCCTTCCAAATTTTTATTGCACTGAAACCCTTTCACATGTCCTTCCAGAAAAGAACGTCTGCTTAAAAAGAACATTGTTTCTTAAAACTCAACTTGCACAGATTTATCATTTTCTGTGTTAGCCCTTGAATTTTGTCGATCTGTTCACCAACCATCCACAGCAACAAACAGCGGTGGACTAGAACGAATGAACATTCGAAAGCCTACTGTATACACACACACACACACATCAGGCTCTATGCTTGATGCTTTCATGTAAATTAACTCATTATCGGTCCATTTCCTCAAGCATCTTCACGCAGCATCCCAAAGCTCTGTACTCTGTCCTTCCACCGCAGATGACAGTAAAATCCCAGCCTCAGAGGGATCAAACCCTCGGCTGAGTTCCACACTTGCACGCCGGTCTCTGAGGCCTGAGGGAGACACTCCCGCTCCTGAACAGACCTGGGTCTCCAGCTCCAGCCAAGACGGAGGCACTGTTACATAGCTGGCTGACTATGTCTATTTCAAGACTTCACTGTGGTGTGTCAGGCATTGTTCTAATGGCTTTACCACTTGGTTCTCCTAAACCCTGGTGTAGGCTCCAAGGCAATGCCCTCGTTTTGCAGAACAGGTGTGTGAGGCACAGAGAGGTGGAGTGACTTTCTCAAGATCACACAGCTAGGATTCAGTGAAAGCAATCAAACCACGCAGGCTCTGACTCTGCTCCCTGCCCTAAGGCCACTGGAACTCTGTCTTATCAGCTCGGCCTCTTACCATGCCCCAAAGTCCAGAGGGCATGCCCTGCTTGGTCAGAACCTGCTTTGCTTGGGGAGGGTTTGTTAACCAGTGCATCAATGCTTACATCTACTGGCTGAAAAATGCGTAGAGTTCAAGCTCTTAGAGTAGGTTTTTGTGTTTTTTTTTTTCTCATTATTGTCTTTGCTTCCAGATGTCACCTTCCAGATACAACCTGTGACGGCTCTCATTCTGCCACCATGCCCCAACATGGGAGTGTCCTTGCACCCTGCCAATTTAACTTCCCAGAACTAGTGACTCTCAACACCAGCATCACGACAAATATTAATGTATCCAAACCTCTTTCCATTTTTTTGTGCCTCATAAGGATTTCCTATAGTTCACCTGGGACCAACTCATGGGGAAGGAAGTGTGTGTGTGTGTGTGTGTGTGTGTGTGTTAGTCACAGCTAACACTGGTCAATTAGGCACTTGAACATTTGAATGATGATCAGTATTGTGTTAAAATCTTCCTGGGAATCAGTATTGTGAAAATGACTATACTGCACAAAGCAATCTGCAGATTTAATATGATTTCTACCAACATCCAAATACAACCAAAAATACCAGGAACATTTTTCACAGAATTACAAAAAACAGGCCAGCCACAAAAGCTCATACCTATAATCCCAGCACTTTGGGAGGCCAAGGTGGGAAGATTATTCGAGGCCAGGAGTTCAAGACCAACCTGAGCCATGGTGAGACCTTGACCCTACAAAAAAATTTTAAAAGTTAGCTGGGCACAGTGGTGTGTACCTGTAGTCCCATGCACTGAGGAGGCTGACATAGGAGGGCTGCTTGAGCCCAGGAGTTTGAGATTGCAGTGAGCTATGATGACACCACTGCCTACTAGCCTGGGCGGCAGAGTGAGAACCTATCTCAAAAGAAAGAGCAAAAGGAGAAAACAATTACAAAATTCACATGGGATCAATAAAGAGCCCAAATAGCCAAAACAATCCTAAGTAAAAAGAACAAATCCAAAGGCATCACATTACCCAACTTTAAATTATACTACAAGCTTATAGCAATCAAAAGAGCATGGTACTGGCATAAAAGAAGACACGAAGATCAATGGAACAGAATAGATAACCCAGAAATAAAACCATTTGCCTACAACCAACTGATCTTCAACAAAGCAGACAATAATATACACTGGGGAAAGTGTACACTATTCAGCAAATGCTACTGGGAAAATTGGATAGCCACATGCAGAAGAATGAAACTGGATCTCTATCTCTCACCATATACAAAAATTAACTCAAGATGGATTAAAAATTTAAATGTAAGACTGGAAACCATAAAAATCCTAGAAGAAAACCTAGGGAAAACTCTTTTGGACATTGGCCTAGGCAAAGAATTTATGACTAAGACCCCAAAAGCAAATGCAACAAAAACAAAATAGACTCATAGGACTTAATTAAACTAAAAAGCTTCTGCACAGCAAAACAGTAAATAGTCCACCTACAGAATGGGAGAAAATATTCTCAAACTATGTATCCAACAAAAGACTAATGCCAGAATCTGCTAGGAACTCAAACAACTCAGCAAGAAAAAAACTAAACAGCCCCATTGAAAAGTGGGCAAATAACATGAACACAGATTTTTCAAAAGAAAATATACAAATGGCCAACAAACATGAAATAATGCTCAATATCATTAAGCATCCAAGAAATGCAAACTAAAAACATAATGAGATACCATCTCACTCCAACTAGAATGGCCACTAATATAAAAAGTTAAAAAACAGGCCAAGTGCGGTGACTCACGCCTGTAATCCCAGCACTTCAGAAGGCCAAGATAGGAGGATCACTTGAGGCCAGGAGTTTAAGACCAACCTAGGCAAACTAATGAGACCCCTGTCTCTACAAAAAAAAAAAAAAGAAAGAAAAAAAAAGAAAAATGTGCAGATGTAGTGAAAAGGGAACATTGTTAGTGAGAATGTAAATTAGTACAACCTCTATGGTGATCTGTATGGAAATTTCTCAAAGAACTTTCTTGTAAGGAAATTTCTTATCTGTAAGGAAATTTCTCAAAGCAGATCTACCATTCAATCCTACAATCCCACTATCTACCCCAAAGGAAAGAAACCATTATGTCAAAAAGATACCTGCACTCATATGTTTGTCACAGCACAGTTCACAGATGCAAAGATAAGGAATGAACCTAAGTGTCCACCAACTGATGAGTAGATAAATAAAATGTGGGGTGTGTGTGTGTACACACACATACATACATACACATACACCGCGGAGTACTACCCAGCCATAAGAAAGGATGAAATAATGTCTTTTGCAGCAGCTTGGATGGAACTGGGGGCCATTATCCTAAGCGAAGTATCTCAGGAACATAAAAATAAAGGTGACATGTTCTCACTTATAAGTGGGAGCTAAACAATGACTATAGAGCAGGAGTCCTCAAACTACGGCCCGCGGGCCACATGCGGGTGTTTTTGCCTGTTTGTTTTTTTTACTTCAAAATAAGATATGTGCAGTGTGCATAGGAATTTGTTCATAGTTTTTTTTAAACTATAGTCTGGCCCTCCAACGGTCTGAGGGACAGTGAACTGGTCCCCTGTTTAAAAAGTTTGAGGAGCCCTGCTCTAGAAGGACAAACAGAGCAGTAGAACCAACACTGAAAACTGAAACACAGGGAGGGTGGGAGGACAGGAGAGATGGAAAATTACCTGTGAGCTACAGGGTACACTTTTTGGGTGACAGGAATAAAAGCCCATACTGCATCACTACACAATATATACATGTAATGGAATTCAACGTGCATCCCCTAATTCTATGAAAAGAAAAAAAAAAAGACCTAAACATTGCAGGGTAGAAAGAAAGAGTGGTCCTGTTGAAGTTCCTATCTGCTGTTTGTTTAATTAAACTATTATATGAGTAAAATAAAGTAAGCATCAATTAAATTACAAGTAAAAAAAAAAACCCTTCTGTACCTCGGCTGGTACTCAAGAAGGAGGATATAAATTTGGGGTTGCTGAGGGCCACCCTGCAGAGACGACTGCCTGGGAGAGACCAAGGGACGCTGCCACAGTTGGTGTGAACTCGCAAAGGTTCGGGAGAGAGGTGGAGGGAAAGAAGAGAGAAGGGAAGGAGGACAGAGAGAACATGTGAGAAGAAATGGATCCAACTGTAATCATATGAACATCTAGATCCAGCCATGCCTGAAGCCGCCCATATCTATGCAGTTATGCAAACCAATGGACACCTCTTGCTTAAAAAAAAAGTCCACCTGAAATAATAGTTCTGCTCTCTGCTGCGCTGGCATAAAGTATACAAAACAGTGACACCCGAGGGCCAAGAGGGCTTTTGGAACTTTTATGCCACCCCAAGTCTAGGACAGAAGCCAGTCCCCAATCAAGGCCTGGACTCTGCCCCCGACTCAGTGCCAGGCTCTGACGTGCCAGGCTCTTGCGTTCTCGTCCCATCAAGGACTGCCGCGGTCCCCGTGGATTCCTGGACCGCAAACCCAATTCCCTTTCTCCACGGTCTCCTGTCCCCGCCCGCCGTGACCGCCCCAGCAGTGGCAAGGCCGCTCCCTGGGCATTCTCCAGGGCAAAAATAAAAATGAAAAAAGAAAACCAGCGTGTGAGGACCTCCGGGGCCGGGTGTGGGGCCGCGTGCCTCCCTTGGGGGCGGGGAGCCCGCCCGGTGGAAGCAGTCGCTTGGTGGAGACGCGCGGATGCCCGCGGGCGGCCGAGCGCAGGAGTGTCCGGCGAGCGCCATCCACTCTGGGAAGCCAGCTCGTCTGGGGGGAACGGCCTCTTCCGGGCCGGGCCCCACGCGGCGTGGCGGGCTGTGGGACGGGAGCCGGCCGTGCCCGGGGCGAGCGCTACCCTTGGGCTCAGAGCACACACGGCTCTCACCAAGCCCTGTCCTCGAGGGAGATGCAAACCGGGGAGGGCCACTGTGCCTTCCCCATCCCGGGCCTGGCACCGAGCGCCCGGAGGGAATAGTTGAAAACCCGGGGCCGCCGCGATCGCGTGGCTCGGCTTAGCCTCGGTAATTGAGCCCAGGACTTGGGACCGGCTCCCGCTGCCTCACGGAACCAAATGTCAGCAGAGCCGGGCAGTGTGCCGCCCTGCCTGCCGGCCAGCCGCCTGCCAGGGCCGGGACGGACCAGCCTTCCCTGATTTCTCCCCGGCTCCCGGCGGCTTGCCAGACTCTGCCCAGATGTCCTCCGCCCTGGGCGGACCCCCCACAAGGCGATTTGCCTTCCCGGGGAAGCACGAGGGCGTTTCCCAGCACGGCCAGGCTCCGGGTCAGCCGCGTGCACCTCCCGACCGAAGATCTTCAAAGGATCCGCTTTTCCCCAGAGAGCTGCTCTCCGCTCCCGGAGCTCCCCACGCCCACACCGCCCGGCCTGCGCTGGCTTTGCTCCTGGACAGTGTCTTCCACGGAACACGTGTCTTCCAGCACACGCAAGGACCTCGTGCCCCGCGGGGCAGACCAGGGCCGGCTCACGGTCGCAGCTATTTGGTGTGCATTTCCACCCTGGCAGAGCTGTCACCTGCATAGAAAACGCAGGCCCGGGCCGGGCGCGGTGGCTCACGCCTGTCATCCTGGCTGGGCGGATTGCTCAAGGTCAGGAGTTCGAAACCAGCCTGAGCAAGAGTGAGACCCCGTCTCTATTATAAATAGAAAGAAATGAATTGGCCAACTAAAAATATACGTAGAAAAAATTAGCCGGGCATGGTGGCACATGCCCGTAGTCCCAGCTACTCGGGAGGCTGAGGCAGGAGGATCGCCTGAGCCCAGGAGTGTGAGGTTGCTGTGAGCTAGGCTGACGCCATGGCACTCGAGCCCGGGCAACAGAGTGAGACTGTCTCAAAAAAAAAAAAAGAAAAGAAGAAGAAGAAGAAAATACAGGCCCCAAAGGACAAAGCTGAATTGCAAAAAATGGATAATTCTTCCTCTTTAAAGGAGCTTGGAAAACTTCAAGAATGTGCACTGAGAGCAGGGTTGGTAAGTCTGTCCTTCCCTCCCCTCCTCCCTCCCCTCCCTCCCTCCCCTCCGCCCTTCCCTCTTCCTCCCTTCCCTCCTCTCTCCCCTCTTTCTTCCCTCCTCCTTCCCTCTCTCTCCTCCTTCCTCCTCCCTTTCCCCTCCTCCCTCCCCTCCTCCCTCCCCTTTCACTGTTTCCGTGGAGCCAGCACTGGCTGGGCAGCTGTTACTTGGCGCGGCTGTGACAGGCAAAGCGAGCCTCTGAGGAAAGGCCACAGTGTTCCCATCTGGATGGCACACGCAGCTCACTGGAGAACCCCGGGAGGGTGAATCGCCACATGGGGAACGGGAACTAGTCAATAAAATGTGTTTCGAATTTCTGAATTCTCCGGCAGTGTCTCTATCAAAGGCAAGTTTTAAACTGTGGTCACTCCAGCCCGGGGGTAATTCTGGACTTGAACTGAGGAATGACTCAGTGACAAGAAATGAAGGGAAGAAATGGATGGTTTCTTCTTCTCCTTCTAAAGGGGCGACTGGGACTGGTCTGCGTATGTCCCCATACGTTGTGCACAGGACTAGAAAGACATGGCGCAGTGCCTCTGCCTCAGTTTCCCAACTGGCAGAGCGAGCAGCTTGTGTTGAAGTTAGTGTTACACCTGTCATCTCTCTTTCACTACGCTGTTACCTGTCATCTCTCCTTCTCTACACTGTCACCTGTCATCTCTCTTTCTCTACACTGTCACCTGTCATCTCTCTTTTGCTACAGTCACCTGTCATCTTTTTCGCTACACTGTTACCTGTCATATTTCTTTCACTACATTGTTACCTGTCATCTCTTTTTTGCTACACTGTTACCTGTCATCTTTATTTAGCTACACTGTTACCTGTCATCTTTATTTGGCTACACTGTCACCTGTCATCAGTCCTTTGCTACACTGTTACCTGTCATCTTTATTTAGCTACACTGTCACCTGTCATCTCTCTTTCTCTACACTGTTACCTGTCATCTTTATTTCTCTACACTGTCACCTGTCATCTCTCTTTCTCTACACTGTTACCTGTCATCTTTATTTCGCTACACTGTCACCTGTCATCTCTCCTTCGCTACACTGTTACCTCCTGGGGAGGAGAGGCCACGTGTACCTCAACAATTTTGTGTCCCCAGAGCTTAGCTGGGGCTTGGCACAGAGTGGGGGCTTTCGCGTGTTCAACGAACGAGTGGCCGATGAGCATCTCAAAGACACCTTCCACCTACCTGGCTTCTCCTGCACCAGTGTGACCTCAGTGTTCCCAGGGAAACCATCCCATCTCGGGTCACAGAATGCAGGACGCCAGGTGACAGGCTGACATCATAATGACAAAGATCCTCTTTGAGCTGACTTCAGAGTAGGGGACAAGTCAGAGCCATCAGAGAAGAAACTCATGCTCCACAGAAAAGCCCTCAAGGCCTCACAAGAAGCCCCTCGCGGGGGCCACTGGCGTGGCCGGGGCACGGGACAGCCTCGGGAAGGCCCCGGCCCCCGGACACAGGCTAAGTCAGGACAGGGACTCCCCTCAGCTTGCGGTACCTCCAAGATGGTGCAGGCTCCATACATAACTGATCTCAAGAAGGACCTGGACCAATGAAGGGCATCCCCCTGCCATTGCTCTGGAGAGACTGGTAAGGCGCCGAGCACCGGGCCTCCCGCAGGGGAGACGCTCCATCAATGCTGTTGCCCAATGACACAAACGGTCCACGTGCCACACGGGGTGTCCACACCGCACTGACCACGGTCGGGAGGAGGGACAAGCAGGAGTGCAAACACTGCTGCGGGCTTAGACGCTGGAGTCGATGCTGGTCTGAGGCCACACCTGCCACCTGCCATCTGGGTGGCACGAGCAAAGTATCCAACACCTGTATGGCTCAGTCAGTCGCCCGTAAAACAGGGACGACAGGCCAGCCACCGAGATGAGTAAAGAAAGCAATTCTGAGAAGTGTTTAGCGTATGGCCTCGCACATAGCATGGACTTAAAAAAAAAAGTTTGCTCAGAAAACAGTAAAAGAGTAGAAACAACCTAAATATACATAACTGAGAGATTTTGTTAAATATATTATGGTACATTCATACGATGGAGTATTATGCAGCCAATCATAGGAATAAAATAGATCCACATATACGACAGATATGGGACGGGGTCTGCAATCTAGTGCAAAGCTGAGAAACGCCGCCAAATACCTGTTTTATTTACCAAACAAAATTACTTATGCAAATAGAACCAAACTATGCATGTTTTGGAAGGTGCAGCAAGGTACTGGGGATTTATCGGCAAACAGCCTTTCCTTTCTGTTAATACCTAATTTTCTACACTTGATTTATTTTTTACAACAATCACGTACCACATTTATGATAAAAAAATAAAGATTTTCTATTTGGGGGAACAAAATAGAATTTTATGTCTAATTTTTGTCAGCTAGTAGTTCTGAAATAATTTTCTCAGATTCTATAATATCTGGCTGTGGCCAGGCGTAGTGGCTCTCGCCTGTAATCCTAGCACTCTGGGAGGCTGAAACAGGAGGATCACTTGAGCTCAGGAGTTCGAGACCAGCCTGAGCAAGAACGAGACCCTGTCTCTACTAAAAAAAAATAGAAAGAAATTAGCTGAACAACTAAAAATATATAGAAAAAATCAGCCGAGCATGGTGGCCCATGCCTGCGGTCCCAGCTACTTGGGCGGCTGAGGCAGGAGGATTGCTTGAGCCCAGGAGTTGGAGGTTGCTGTGAGCTAGGCTGACGCCACGGCACTCTAGCCCGGGTAACAGAGTGAGACTCTGTCTCAAAAAATAAATACATAAAATAAAATAAAATAATCTGGTTGACATTTTGGTTGAGATTGCCCTGTACTTATAGACAAATTTGGGGAGAAAGTCTTTGCATCCAGGAACTCTTTTTAAAATTATTGTTTTGTTTTCATATTTGTTCAAATTTTCTTTCAAAACTTCAATCAAATTTTATATTCTTCTTTATATAGGCCCCAAATATCTTCAATTATGTTTATCTATGAACATTTCTGTTTCTGTTTTCAATTGAATCATTTGTACAAATAAACATAACTTCTGGTTGGCTATTGTCCCTCATATATACATAAGATACAGCTCTTGCACATTTATTTCATAGCTAGCAACGTTATAGAGCTCTCATTAATTCTAATAACTGTTCAGTAGCTCATTTTGAGTTTCCAATCGCGTAATCCCTAAATATTAATAAACTTGCTCCATTTAGAAGTATTTGTGCCACTTATTTCATTTTATTTCCCAATTATACTGGCTGAAACTTCTAGAACATTAGTCAGTAGCAAGGACAATACAGGATTCCTGGGTGTTTTTCCGACATTAATGGAAGTCCCTCTGCGTTTTCTGGTACGTAGGACAGTGACTGCCATGTTAGGACAAAATTGCTTATGACATTAAGGAAGTACATTTGCGTAAGTGCAACTTTGGAAGCATTTTCTCCAAGGATGAGTCGTCTATGGAAGGGTTTTTAGCTCTTTGGCCCCGTGGTGTCTCTTTCCTCCTTTGACGTGCCCAAGTGAAGAAATGTCAACATACCAGTGGCTTCCTTCCAACCGAGCCACTCACTCTGCTCTAAGCCCCGTTGGATCACGGTGTGCACCTCTTTTTAATAGCAGACTGGATTTAATTCGCTAATACTTTATTTAGGGTTTTTATACCTGTATTCGCAAAATAGAAATCATCTGTCATCTTACTGTGGAACGTCTCGGTTTGCTGGCTTCGTGAGAGTAGCCACGGGAGCCTGCACGTCTCTCCCACTTCCCAGCATGGTTCAACAGTCGAAGATACATCTAGTCCATAAAGGCTCGGAATATCTCTTCCATAAAATCTTTTGATCCTGGGTCCCTCTTGGGTGGTTCTTTGAAATTTTCCCATAACTCCTTTGGCTATGGGTCTTTTTCTTTGGTAATTTTGATCACTTACAAGAATGCCATAAAAGTCCCCTTTAGGCTGGCAGTTGTGGCTCTTGCCCCTGGGAGTGATTTGCCCAGAGGAAGACACCTTTGACCACCGTGCTTGAAAACTATGCTGCCCTTGTACCTAAAGAATACAGCTGTAAGGCCGGGCACAGTGCCTCACACCTGTAATCCTAACACTCTGGGAGGCCGAGGCGGGCGGATCGCTCAAGGTCAGGAGTTTGAAACCAGCCTGACCAAGAGCGAGACCCTGTCTCTACTAAAAAAAAAAAAAATAGAAAGAAATTAATTGGCCACCTAAAAATACATAGAAAAAATTAGCCGGGCATGGTGGCGCATGCCTGTAGTCCCAGCTACTCGGGAGGCTGAGGCAGGAGGATTGCTTGAGCCCAGGAGTTTAAGGTTGCTGTGAATGAGGCTGACTCCATGGCACTCTAGCCCGGGCAACAGAATGAGACTCTGTCTCAAGGAAAAAAAAAGTCCCCTTTCGTCTAGGTTTTCAAATGCATCAGTATAAAATGTCTTGCACAGACTGTCAATTTTTAAAATGTTCCCTGGGACTCTGTGCATGTGCTCTGTCTCTCCTGACCAGTGTGTTTCCATGGCCTTCCTCCTCCTTGCTGAGTTAGACACGCTGAAGGGGGCTGACTCCACGGGGCCTTGCAGAGGACTCATTCTCAGAAGGAGTGAGAACATCTGCTTCTCTCTGGGGTTTGCTTTAAAATGTATTTATTTTGGCTTTATTATTTTCCTTGCTGTTTTCTTTTATATTTGTTTTATCCTGTTTTTTCTATCTCAAGAGTTTAATAATTAGGTCTGGTGTGGTGGCTCATGCCAGTAATCCTAGCACTCTGGGAGGCCGAGGCGGGAGGATCGCTCGAGGTCAGGAGTTTGAGACTGGCCTGAGCAAGAGTGAGATCCTGTCAGTACTATAAATAGAAAGAAATTAATTGGCCAACTAATATATATAGAAAAAAATGAGCCGGGCATGGTGGCGCATGCCTGTAGTCCCAGCTACTTGGGAGGCTGAGGCAGGAGGATGGCTTGAGCCCAGGAGTTTGAGGTTGCTGTGAACAAGGCTGACATCATGGCACTCTAGCCTGGAGATAGAGTGAGACTCTGTTTCAAAAAATGAAAAAAGAGAGAGTTTAACATTTAGTTTCCTCAAATCCATTCTTTCTATTTTCGGAATGACAGCGTATCTTGTGCTGGTTACATGCCCTAATTTTAAAGCCCAAGTAGACGTAGGTTTCAAATCCAGGCCAATTATTTACCGTGTCTCAAGAAAATCCACTTAAATTTTTTGTGACTCCAGTTTTTTTTTTTAAATCTGTAAAATACAGTTGATTATAGTAGCTACCTCATAGACACAGTGTGATAATAAATTGCAATAGTAGACGTAACTCTCATAGCACTGTTTGTTGGGTGGTCATTGTTGACACAGCTGTCATCATCATCATTATTATTTAAGGCCAGAAATTCTCTTCTGAATATCCTTTTTGCCATAACCCATCACTTTTGAAATATGATGTCCAATTTTGTTATTTCAGAAATGGTCTGTAATTGTAGTTTCGATTTCCAATGTAAACTCGGTTCTTTAGAAGATTTTTGTTGTTATTGTTAATTTCATGTGGTTCAATTTCCCAGATTTAGTCTTGTTGTTCTTGAAATTCTTTATTAAAAAATTCCAGCTTAATTGCATCACGGCCAGAGGATGTGTCTTGGTTGCTTTTATTTGTTGGAATTTATTGAGGTTGACTCTATAAGCCAGAATGTGATGTGACTTAATGTGTTTCTAGTGGCGCACATTTGAAAAGCAAGATTATTCTTTGGGAGTTTTTAAAGTTGTGTATATTCAAATGTGATCTTAAAATACAGTCCTGTGGGCCGGGCGCGGTGGCTCACGCCTGTAATCCTAGCTCTTGGGAGGCCGAGGCGGGCGGATTGCTCAAGGTCAGGAGTTCAAAACCAGCCTGAGCAAGAGCGAGACCCTGTCTCTACTATAAATAGAAAGAAATTAATTGGCCAACTGATATATATAGAAAAAAAAAAAAAATTAGCCGGGCATGGTAGCGCATGCCTGTAGTCCCCGCTACTCGGGAGGCTGAGGCAGGAGTATCGCTTGAGCCCAGGAGTTTGAGGTTGCTGTGAGCTAGGCTGACGCCACGGCACTCACTCTAGCCT